TGATGGATCTTGGATGGCTAAGTCCTTTCATTTTCATATGGAGGTATTACTCACAGGGAACTATTTGAAATCTTTCTGAGTCTCTCTGTGCCACACAGACACAGACACACACACACAGCTTTTCTGCCCTCTCTTCCCACCCTACCCCACCTCTTTCCCCTTCATTGTTCACAGGGTAAGCAAGAACTTCAGCCAGTGACATTCTTCCTGTACTTAGCATGACTTGCCGGTGACTAGTCTCTTTTATGAGTGTGGAGGCAGCCTCCAGAGCGCTTAGTCACAAGGTGCTCGACCCCACTCAGAGTCCCACTCTTCCCCAACTCCAAGCGCTGTGGGAATGCTCAGCTGCTCGGAGATCCTGGAGAACAACAGTTCCTCCATGACGGGGCACAGTTAGGATGAAGGAGACACAAAGAGCCCAGCAGTTGCTGGCACACAGGATGTAGACACCCATCATCCGTCACAGGCACTGGTTGGTCCAAGGACTGCAGTTCTCAGTAAGCAGTGCAGGGAGAGATCAATTGTTCCCAAACTCTCGAAGCAGGCTGAATTCAGGAAGGGCTGCTGCCCTTCCAACTTGTGGAAGGCACAGTGTTAACTGAGCTCCCTGGCTTCCTCCTGGGGGACCCCAAAGGCTTAGGGAGAAAACAAAACACTTCTGTTATATATATATAAAAAAATACAGTCATTCTAGATACAAATTGCCCAGTCTTTGTTTGTTTCTTCTCGAGACACAGGTTCTCTGTGTAGCTCTGGACATCCTGGAACTCACTTTGGAGGTCAGACTGGCCTCAAACTCAAGAGAGCCGCCTGCCTCTACCTCCAAGTGCTAAGATTAAAGAAAGGAATGAGCCTCCCCTCCCAGCCAGATTGCTCAGTTCTGCGCTCTTATCTCTGCTCTCTACCTCTCAACAATTCCTACAAACCTGATTCTAAGGAAACTGTAGCTTCCTGCTCTATCTCCCCTCCCCACCCCCACCCTGCCGCTGCCCTGCGCCCCCTACAGCAGTACCTTCTCCAGTCCATTCAACACTTCCTCCATTAACACAGCCCTAATGTCTCCAGTCCACTCAAGGGCATGTTCAAAATAGAAAAACTGACTTCCTAAAACTTGAGCTGATTTAGGGCCTGGTTTATCCTTATATGTTTTTTTTTTTTCTTTCTTACTAGCTTTTTAAAACTAAATTGAGAATCTTAACTGAATCTTTTAAATAACAGTAGAGACTGTCTCACCTCTACACACCACAAGCCGGTGCTTTGGCATTCATATTTATTTTCATTTTCTAGGGATGTATGGGCATTTTGCCTGCATGTTTGTCTGTGTACCACAAGCATGCCTAGCGCCAGCACAGGCCAGAAGACTTCGCCCAGTCCCCTGGAACTGGAGCTACAGTTGTGAGTCTGGGTGGGTGCTGGGAATTGAACCCAGGTGCTCTTAAGCGCTGAACCATCTCCAGCCCCTGGAAGGAATACTGTTGACCAACACTCACCAACCCGAAAGACGATTTCTGCTCAGCTAGAAGTCACTAAACGCTAGCTTAAACGTAGAAATACATTAGCGCATAAGATATACCCTGTCTCATCTGGAGTCTTCTCATCCATATTCAGAAAACACCAGACCAGCCGCTGCCCCCGCCGTGGTGCTCCGCGGGGCTCTTCCGGGGTGAAAGTGTCTGACCCTGAGCGGGCTCTGACTCAGCACATCGAAATCGCAGGCTTCAGGTTCAGGGGTGGGAGCCTTCCTCCCCTTTTTACAAAATCTGCTGAGAAAACAACAAAATGAGATTTTTTTTTTTTAAGTTTGGAAGGTCAAAGAATTTAAACATGTGACCCCACTAAACTAGAGAAAGCTAGGACGAATAAGGCTCACATATAAACATTTCATTCTCTCGGATTGCTGTGCTTAACTCCATATTAGCATTTAAATTGCCGCAGTAGGACCTGGGAAAATACTGCAGGAAGCAAAAAGCAGGTGGGAAGGCTGGTGCGGGCTGCTCCTGTTCTCGCCCGTTGTTTGGAGTCGTTGATCCCCTCGCCCACCAAGGAGAAAGCACTGAGAACTCTCTCTCTCTCTCTCTCTCTCTCTCTCTCTCTCTCTCTCTCTCTCTCTCTCTCTCTCTCTCTCTCTTCTCTCTCTCTCTCTCTCTCATCAAAAAATGCTGAGAAGTTTTTCCGTGTGGCGCGCCTGCTCTTTGAGTGGTCTGTGGACCTGGGGCTCCCAACCTTGCTGACTCTGAAAGCCGCGGGGGCCCCGCTTGGAAGGGTACATTTATCATTCCGAATTCTGATTCAGGAGAGTTTCGGGGCAGCGACCTGTAATCCGTAAAATACTCACCAGGTGATTCTGGCGCACACCCTGGGCTTGGGATTTGACTAGCAGTGAACCAGCCCAGCGGTGACACACTTGGACAAAGTCGGAGGTTAATATTTCGGCAAGGCCTTGTACACCAAAGCAGGTGCCAATAATAATCTCCTTTGGCTAAACTCTTAGACTCCCCCCATGAGGGCTGGTGGAATGAATCGGTGGGTAAAGGTGATTGCTGCCAAGCCTGAAAAAAGACAGTGTAGTCCCTGGACACCTACATGGTGGGAAGAGAGCGCGAACTCCGATAAATTGTCCTCTAACCTTCAGGTATTGTGCTCCCCCACGTACACACCAACAAAATAGGCAAATATAAAAATAGAAGTTTTGTTTTTTGAAACAGGGTCTCATTATGTAGCCTTTTGTTGGCCTAGAACTCACCATATAGGTCAGGCTGGTTCCTAATTCACACACCTGCCTCCGCCTCCTAACTGCTGGAATTAAAAGCATGTGCCACCATGCCCAGCTCAAAAACTTTTTTTCTTTCAAGAGAAATTGGAGAATTCAGATGCAGCGATTCTTGCCTTTAATCCCAGCACACAGGAAACAGAGTCAGTCTGAGTTGCAGGCCAACTTGGTCTACACAGTAAGTTCCAGGCCCACCAGGGCATATAGCTGAGACCCTGCCTAAAGGAAATAAATAAATAAAAATTAAAAAGCCAGGTTAGGGGAGTCTGGAGAAATGTGAGTTTGGTTCCCTTAGTACCCTTGTCTGGCTGCTAACAACCGCCTCTAAGCTCCGCCTCTACAGGTGCTGTAGTCACGTGCACAAACCCACGCACAGACACAAACGTGTACACATAAATAAAAATACATATTTAAAAAAAAATCCCCAATGGAATCCTAACCTTAAGGCTATTGTAGAATAGGACCTTGCCTGCCCAGTTCCTGTTTTTAGTTATGAGTCACACATATTTTGTGCCTGTGACAAAGCTTCTGCGCCAGGCCTTGTGTGCTGACTTCCCTCATTTAGTTCACTCCCGTAATCTTCTCAGCCACCAGGCCCTGCAAGAAGCTACTATTATCCCATCAGAGATAAGGACACAGAGGCTGGGGGAAATGCTCCGGGAAGTAAAACAAACTGAGGGGGCCTCCTGCTATACACTGATTCCTGGTGGCAGTACTGGCCCAGCATGCGTGAGGCCCTGGCTTAGATCCCCAGCTTTAACTAAGCCAGGTGTGGTGACATATACCTGCAATCCCAGCACCAGGGAGACAGAAGAGTCAAGAGTTCAAGATCATCCCCATTGCCAGTTTAAGGCCAACCTGGGATACATAAGATCTTGTCTCAATAAAAAAATAATAAATTAATAGCCGGGCAGTGGTGACGCACGCCTTTAATCCCAGCACTTGGGAACCAGCCTGGTCTACAAAGTGAGTTTCAGGACAGCTAGAGCTAGGGCTGTTACAAAGAGAAACCCTGGCTCAGATAGACAGATAGATGATAGATAGATGGATAGATAGATAAGAAAGAAACCCAACCTTACTAACAACAGAGAAATCTTCACCACCTTCATACGTTCAACAAATAACTGAGCACATTGGACAGCATGCCAAGTGTAGGCAGATGGCTCCCGACCTTAGAAGGCCTTGCCGGGAGCCTCACAGGGCCAAGGAGAGGCAAGGGCATTTTCTTGGATGTGTTCCTTTAGCTATCGCATCATCTCCAGGAGGATGCTCTTGGGTAAATGTTCAGATCCAGAAATGTGTTCTCGTGAATGATGGCTTGGAACACTAAAGGGAACCCAGACTGGGAGTAGCAATCTGGGATGCTCTCTGAACGCTGCTGCAGAGCCGAATGTGGAAGGACCAGAGAGGGTCGACTAAGCAGGAAGAAAGCACATTGTGGGCACCTGGCAGCGTGTGCAGGGTCTTCTGACAAGAGACTGGCAAGGCTTGGGTGCAGCTGGGCATGTGGGGCAGTGGATGAAGGTAGGGGCCAGGAGCAGACCCAGTTGGGTACGGCTCACTACACAAGGGCATAAAGATGCAAAAGGGGGACCAAGAATGGCAGTCCTGCAGAAGAGACAAGCCTGATGCCAGACTAAGGCCTGCTACCTGGGCGCTTTGGAGGTCGCTGGGTTGCCTGGCAGTTAGGTAAGCCTCTAACTTCTCTAAAGCCTCACCTTGTTTATTTGCTATGGAAGGAATCTGCCTCCCAGGTCACTGTGTATCACAGAATGAGATCAGGCTCCTGTGCACAAGATTCTCCGGAACAGGCAGTGGCGACAACATGGCGGCCCACGAGGAAGAGAATGCAGGCTGGCTCCCAGGCCCACTTCACCAGTCAGCCTGAGGCACCAGAGGAGGAGCTGACTTGGAAGAAGAGGCATGAGTTTGATTTCACAGAGTTGTGCAAAATTTCTAACTCTTGAAGATAGCTAGAAATGCAGACGAAGCCGGGCAGTGGTGCACTCCTTTAATCCCAACACTTGGGAGGCAGAGGCAGGCAGATCTCTGTAAATTCGAGGCCAGCCTGGCAAAGCTACAGAGAAACCCTGTTTCAAAAAACAAAAAAACAAAAAAACAAAAAAAAAAAAATAAACAAACAAACAAATGCAGCCGAGAAGAGGTCAGACTACACCTTTAGGATTTAATCGCGATCCCATCTGAAGCCCGGGGTCACGGGTGCGGGGCAGAGAATCACAGGGAACACCAATCCACAGGGCACATCCAGGGGAAGCAGAATGGCGATTGCTTTGTCCAGAATGAAAAGTTCTATCTCAAGGTTGTCAGGAACACAGAGAGCCACTAAACAGTCAGTTGCACGCCAGGCACGACCTTGGGGCCTGAATCCAGAACGCAAAGGCCATCGATAGAAAGTTCCCATTGTCACGGGGAAAGAATCAGTCAGTGGACCTCACGTGCTGAGCACTGGGAAACACCTATGAGAGAAAGGGGCAGAGAGGAGAGATGCTGAATACCTGGGGGGCGGTACTTACACTAGCCCTGGGGGTCAGGCAACATTTGAGCTGACACCTGAGATTAGGGGACCATTAACTGAGGGCTCACGTAAGCCTTTTAAGTGTGTTCCTAGTTAGCCTTAAGTGTGTTCCTAGTTAATCCTAACCACCCAGCAAGGTAGGGATTGTCACGATCCCCACCTTAGAAATCCCACAACTGGTCTTAGAGCTGCTGAGCACCTTACCCAACAGCTAGCTAAGCTGGGGAAAGAGCCTCAGACAGAACCTGAGCTCACAGACTGCCCTGTGAGTAACAAATGCTTAAAACAAGTTCACCCTGGAACACTATCTGGACATATTAGCAGTGCTGTGTAGGGTTACTTCCAGGGTGGTGGCCTCATAGAGAATTAAGCAAAACGCAGAGTTACAAATGCCAGCTTCATTATCTGTTCCTTCAGGGACCTGGGGACAAGGAAGGCCCTCTGTGACACTCTGGGTTTCTTGGTTTTTGATTTTTTTTTAATCTGTAAGACAGGTCTAACACACTACCCAAAGACAATCCTGGGGAGAAAAAGATATCACCCCACGTGCCACCGTCTCTGGCACGCAGCAATACCTTCATAGGCTGGTCTCTCTGGGGACAGAATCCATCACAGATAATACATCATGACTTCATGCTAGCCTCAGCAGAGCAGTGGTGGCAGCTGCCCTGCACGCCTTCAATCCCAGCACTCAGGAAGCAGATTTCTCAGTTTGAGGCCAGCATGGTCCACCGAGTTCCATGGCAGCCAGGGCTACACAGAGAAACCCTGTCTTGGAAAAAGAAATCTGATGTCCGGCTGGACAGCTCAGTGGGTAGAGCACTTTCATGCCGTGCGTTTGGCTCTGGGTTTGATCTATTCCCAGCATGACAATGTCAGCCTGAAGCTCCAGGTAAGCAGAGCCTGGACAGAGGGCATGTCAGCTGGCAGTCCACAAACTGGGATCCTGAGAGGAAAACCCCTAGTCATCTTACAGTCGGAAGGCAATTTGTCTTATCTGGGAGAATTTGCTCAGAGACTCCACGGCCAGCCGTGTTTATTCACTGACACTCACTTCCTCCTCCTACAGCAGCCCAGCAGACAGACAGGACGAGCAGCTCCTGGGTTCTACCTTTCTGGCCGCGACCTTCCTCTGCTAGACAATTGAAGTGTTGTCCTTCAAGAGGCAGAATCAAAACAAAGAGATAAAAGCAAGCTGGCTAGCAGCAAGGCAAGATCCCTAGGTGCTCTGTGGTAAAAGCTGAGGATCTGCTGGACCTCTCCCCACGATTATGAAGAGGGGCTGCCTCACCTCATGCACAAGAGATCCTCGGCCGGGCCCTAGGAGAACAGCCGAGCTCTCCTCTGGCTTCCACAGCCTCCATCCCTCTCCCTGCTGACCACCCAGCCACAAGGGCTGCTCTGTTCTTCAGCACACTGAGGCCATTCCGCGGGAGGCATCTGCACTTGCTCAGGCTCAGAAACACTTCTGGTGTGAATGAGCCTCACACTGCCACCCGCGGGAGGAATAGAATCTCTGAAAGCCTTCCTTGAACCCAGTCCTTAATGTTCCCACCTGGACTGGCTCACAGCCTCTGCCACCAACACGCCCAGACCCCACTTCACAGCACTGATATTTCACTTTGGCATACTTTAAACTGTGGAAAACTGTCTTTTTCAGGGTTTTTATACAGGTGTCTTTTTTACCCAACTCCACCTGCAATTAAAAGATGTATGTTCCTGGGGCTGGAGAGATGGCTCAGTGGTTAAAAGCACTGGCTGCTCTTGCAGAAGACCCACGTTCAAATCCCAGCACCTACATGGTTCACAAGTGTCTGTAGCTCCAGTTCCAGGGCTTCTGACAGCCTCATACAGACATGCATGCAGGCAAATGGTGACAACATTTTTTTTTAAAAAATTAAAAAAAAAAAAACAAACCTGTACGCTCCAATAACTGTAAACTCCAGGAAAGATGTTGTCTTTCCCTTCGCAGCACCTGGCCGGTAGAAAGGGGCTCAATATATATTTATTGACTCAATAAAGGAATGTAGAAGAACATGATCAGATTGCAGAGGCAAAAAGTGAGATGTGAGTTTGAGAAAACAGTGGACCACTCATTCTGGTCCAGCTGGGCATGGATAGATGAGGTGAAATGGGAGGCCTGCAAATGACCTGGCACACTGTGGACCACAGAGAAAGTGAGAGCCACTGGGCACGGCGGGGCCTACAAAGTATTGGCCCTGTTATTGAACAAGGCAGAGTAGACAGTCCAAAAAAGCCCAAGAAAAGTCATTCGCTATTCCAGCACTGATGAAAACTAAGCTGTCTGATGGAGCATTCCAAACTATTGAGAGAGCTGGTCCAAACAGTTAAAAGGCCAAGGATGTCGGCTGGTAATGGTGGTGCACACCTTTAATCCCAGCACTCGGGAGGCAGAGGCAGGTGGGTCTTTGGGAGTTTGAGGCCAGCCTGGTCTACAGAGTGAGCTCCACTACCTAGAGAGACCGTGCCTCAAAAACGAGCAAACAAATGACATCTCTTAAAAGTTAAATGTGCATATTCAGGATGAGCGCTCTACACCTGAAGAGCCACATGAGTGACTGGCTGCAGCGTTCTCATATGCACACATAACACAAGCACTGCCCACAGTAGGAAGATTTAAGGAATCACATGTCTACCAATGAGTGGCCTGATTAATAAAATGTATTTATACCATGAACCAAATAGCAACGGCCTATGTGGACATGTGCACATACACATACAGAAACAGGATAAATGTTAACAATGTTAAAAGGAAACTAAGAACCAGGTGTAGTAGTGCATACCTGTAATCTAACACTTGGGGTGTAGCCACAAGAGGTGTGTTCTGAAGTTCAAGGCCAACCTGGACTACGGGAAGCCCAGCCTTATAAAGAGAGAGAGAGAGAGAGAGAGAGAGAGAGAGAGAGAGAGAGAGAGAGAGAGAGAGAGAGAGAGAGAGAGAGAGAGAGAGAGAGAGAGAGAGAGAGAGAGAAAATCACAGAGTAATAGGTGTATATGAAATCATTCCTATATATACTCAAAGCCGTTTAACAGTTCATTGACCGTGTGTGTGTGTGTGTGTGTGTGTGTGTGCGTGTGTGTGTGTGTATATAATATTTACAAGGACCCATCAAACTGTACATGGGCTCTGAGAAGTGGGGACAGCTGACTGTATCATTGAAAGAGCTGAAAAACAAAGTTCTTCAGAAATGTTTTCTGTATCCATGACACAGTAATAAAGAGCAAGAAATCACAATTCAAAAAAGACTGGGGGACCGTGAGACAGTTCACTGAATCTTTCCTGATGGCCTGAGTTTGAACCAGGGACCTACAAGATAGAAGGAAGGAGACAAACAACTTCCATATGTTGTCCGACTCTCTATTTTCATACCATGGTCTATATATATATGTACACACACACACGTGCGCGCAAAGACACACACATGCACACACACACGCATGCTGCTATTGAAAATATCTTGGGAAACTGAGGAGAGAAATGGTTATCTCAAATACTTTCTCTCTCTCTCTCTCATTTGGGTTTTTGTTTGTTTTATTTTTTGTTTCTCTGTGTAGCCCTGGCTGTCCTGGAACCTACTTTGTAGACCAGGCTGGCCTCAAACTCACAGAGCTCTGCCTGCCTCTGCCTCCTGAGTGCTAGAACTAAAGACATGCATCACCACGTTTATTTTTTATTTTATTGTTTTATGTGTATGAGTACTTTGCCTGCATGCATGGATGTGTACCACATGTACACAGGGCCCACTGAGGTCACGAGAAGGCACTGGATGCCCTGGAACTGGAGTAAGAGACAGTTGCAAACTGCCACGTGGGTGCTGGGAATTGAACCTGGGACCTCTGGAAGAGCAACACATGTTCTTAACTGCTAAGCCATCTCTCTAGCCCTGTCAATCAACTGATGTTTAACTTTCATTAGAGACTTTCCTTTTTCATCTATCTATGCATGTGTTTGTCTTAGTATTTTATTTCATTTTATATGCATGGGCTTTCTGACTGCATGTACACATGTGTACCTCATGTGTGCCTGGTGCCCAAGGAGGACAGAAGAGGCCATTGGATCCCCTGGTAGTGGATTTACGGGCCAGGGGCCACCATGTGGGTGCTAGAAATTGAACTAGGGTCCTCTGGAAGAGTAGCTAACGCTCTTAATCACTGAGCTATATATAGCACCAGCCCCAAATTTATTTATTTTAAAGACATGGTTTTACCGCGGAGTCCAGGCTGGCCTTCAGTCTCCCAAACTCTAGGATTCCAAGAAAGAGTACACCACCACCCGCTAAAGTCCTGGAGTGTTCATTTTGTCCCCTGGGTGTATTTACGACAAACAGAAAAGCCCAAGCCCAGTGTGGATCTAGACATCAGTCTCCCTCTCGAAAAGTCGGGCTGTCACTGCGTATGTGCCACGTGCCTGGTACAGATTTTGATACAGACTTCCAAAGCACCTGGAGGTCTGACATCAGGTAGCCAATTAACCACACTATACTAAGACATTCAGTATCTAGCACAAACCAGTAGCCCAAACCCAAATTTACACAGCTCAAAGTAAACTTTCAAACAGAAACCTCTACTTTGAGATCAGCGCTCCCATTCCTACGTAAGGTTTATCACCTTCCCATTATCAAAAATGTCATTTATTCTCAGTACAATACACCCCTTGAATTGTCCTGGGATTTACATGTTTGCACAGCACTTTCCTCTCCGTTTATAATGTGTTCTGCAGCTCGTGAAAAGTCCACAGTCTCAGCTCTTCTCCGGAGAGAAACATGAGAGCCCTGGTGCCTGGGTCAGGGTGACTCAGGCAGAGTCAATATTGGAGCTCTGAACCTTGGGCCCCAGAGTCCAGGTCCTAAGGCCTTCTGGCTCTGCTAATCCCACAGCGCTTCTCTCTTAAAGGGCTGTGATGCTTAAGGGGCCTGAGGACCGAATGTCGGCTTGCAATGCTTTCCCATCCAAAATAGCAGTCAGAAATAAACAGCCTGCAAGTTGGCAGTTAAGAATATCTGACTTTAAAGGTCTGATTCTCCATCTGTCCCTTCTGCAAATGCATAGCTAAATTGTGTTGGTACAACCGAACCATTTCTATAATTAATGTAACTTGGTTAATGATTTTTTTTTTTTAAAGAGCCCATAGGAGAGTCTAAAGCCTTCGCTTTTGTGTGTGTTTGTTCAAGTTAGTGTTATCTTGGACACCTGAGCCTCTGACAGCCACAGGCTGGCCTGTGGGTACTGACCTCGTAAAGCCAACAGTTAGGACTGTGTATATAAGGATTTAAGAGATTATTTTACCAGAATAAAGTTACTGTGTAGTCACTGACATGAATGGCATGTCTTCCCATTAACAAACTGAAGAACTTATAAGCGCCTAAAATTAAATGGAAGCTTATAAAAAAAATGAATAAGTAGGTCAAAACAGTCGGGTTACTGATAAAATTGGGCATCTTTAGTTAAAAAAAAAAAACCATTGAAGTTTCTGAGAATGTCTTTGATGCAGTCTTTAAAACACATTTACAGCCGGGATTTGATGCACACCTTTATCTCTGTGAATGAGAGGCCAGCCTAGTCTATATGCTGAGTTCCAGGACAGTCAGAATTACACAGAAACACTGTCTCAGCAACAACAAAACAACCAAACAAAAAAAAAAAATCCACATTCATATTTATTTTATTATCCAACATTTCTTATTCTAATATTTTCTTTTAATTAAAACTAAAGATCCAGGTTAGGGGCCCATACCTGTAATAGACTCAGGAGGATCAAGAGTTCAAGGATACTCTTAGCTATATAGCAAGTTTCAGGTGAGACCTTGTTTCAAAATAAACAAAGAAATAAAATAAAATGTAAACAGAGCTAAACAACTTTGAGCCATGAAGACGGCTCAAAGCAAAACCAAGTAGAAGCTAACCTGGCAGATAAAACCTGATACAGTATTCTTTTTTCGGGCTGCCTTCATGCCTTATTTTATTCCCCTACAAAATTAAACTTGTTGGTAGCTGGGTAACCTTTGTGACATCCACTGGAAAGCCTAAAACTGGAGGATCCCTGGGAGTTTTAAGGCTAGCCTGGGCTACATAACTAGACTCAACCTCAAAACAACAACAACAAAGAATAATGGTTCACACAGCAGCTAATGTGGTCCACGGAAATGAGAAAAACTATCATCAGTATCAGGTCCTTTTTGTTAGTTATTTTGAGACAGGGTCTTTCTTCGTAGCTCTGGCTGTCCTAGAACTCACTGATCTCTCATTCTGCTTCTACTCCCAGAGCGCTGTGATTACAGGCAAGGGTCACTGTGCCTGATTGACTGGTATTTTACAGTACTTGGGATTGAACCCAGGACTTCCTGCATGCTACAGGGGCATGCTACCTACTCAGCTCCATCTCCAGTCCCAGCAGGTACTTTTTAATCTACTTATTCAATTCATTTTTAGACAGCATCTCATGCACCCCAAACTGGCCTCAAGCTTGCTTTTCGGCCAAGGATAACCTTGAACTTCTGACACCCCCCCCTTCCGCACATGAGGTATAAAACCTTTCTCCTGCACTAGGCTCTGCCCACCTGAGTCTTAGACTCTGAAGGCCTCTCCTTGGGCAAACAAACAAGCAAAATCAAATCTGTGCACAAAGGCAAGCTATAAAAATGTTTTATTTTCTACATTTATTTATAGGTTGTAACCTTCAATGTATTCACTAATTAAAACACTGTAAATCTTTTCCTAGTCCTAAGATAGCCATTAGCTGACAAAGCCCCGAAACATGAGTCAGCCACAGCAGACAGAAGGCCATCTTCATCCCATCCATTTCTTGTGCCAAGGTCGGTATCACGTAATTCTTGAAATTTTCACTATGAATGAATAGCCGTTTTGTAAGGATTATCTATTCAGGCAGAAAAGATGGGGGAGGGGATGAGCACAACAAACAATTCCCTATTCAACTGGCTCCGAGTACACTCCCAAGTATGAGATGCCTTGTTCGCATTTTGTTTTTGTTTTTCTTACCTACCTCAGGCCTGGGATCCATGCAAAGAAATACATCTTGTGAGATTTTTCTAGAGTCCCGGTTAAGGATGGTGGGAGCCCCGATGCCAGGCCCGGCTTTACTTTACAGCCTGGCTGACTGAAGCTCAGAGCTGTTTGCATTTCGACACCCTTCTTTTGTTTTCCGTCCCTCAAAAGCCTCCACCAGTTCAAACAGCAGGTACAGCAGTTGGGTCAATCGAATGACCCTAGAATACTCCGGAGAGAAATTAGCAAACAGTGTGGCTATTTTTCTAAAATGCGGCCAACCACTCACTTCCTCTGCTAAACCTCACCAAGCTCAAGTGGGACCCATCTTGTTAAAAATTTACCTCAGGTTGTCCTTCCTTCTCTCTGTGCCTTAGGCAGGGTAGTGATGGGGGTGGAGGGCAGTTCTCACTCCGGGAATCTCTGCTGGGTGTTCCTTTACTCTAATGAGATGTTCACAGGAATTTACAGGTCCCCCAGCACCTGATTCTGAGACCTCTGTGATTTCCGCTGATCAAGCTCTCACAGGAAAGCAAGAGAAAGGTGTGTCGAAGAGAGGAGAGACCTGGGGAGGGTGGGCAAAGGTCCAGTTACGTAGCCATCTCTGGGCTAGTGGCTAAGTCCCGTCTCACCCGCTCCGAGGACTGCAGTCAGATTCCAGGACGTGCCCCAGAGGAGGGCTTTCCAAGAGACTTCAATAAAAATCTACATAGCTAATCTCTCCTCTTCAGGTGGAAGGTCGGTATTTGGGAGAACAGCCTGTGAGTGTGAGCCCACAGAGCCACAGATCAGAGACTCCAGACGCTGCAAGTTTATTTCCTCACGTTCTCAGGTACACAGCTGCGCTGTGCCAGGCCTGGAAACTGAGGGAATTCTAAGCCTTAGCGGCCTAGTTAGGTTTACTGTTGCTGTGATGAAACACCATGACCAAAAACAACTTGGGGAGAAAGTGGTTAATTTGGCTTAACCATCCACAGGAACCTGGAGGCAGGAACTGGTGCAGATGTCAGGGAGGGATGCTGCTTACTGGCTGGCTCCCCATGGCTTGCTCAGCCTGCTTTTTTTTAACAGAACCCAGGACCGCCAGCCCAGGAGTGGCCCCACCCACAGTGGGCTGGACCCTCCCCATTAATCACTAATTCAGAAAATGCTCTACACTTTTGCCTTCAGCCTGATCTCATGGAGGCGTTTTGTCAGTTATGGTTCCCACCTCTCTGATGACTCTAGCCTGTGTCAAGTTGGCATAAAACTAGCCGGCACACTTGGCAAGTCAGCCTATAAGGAAAATGTAGTCAAAGAGCTCCCCGGTCGTCACCGGTGGATGGCTCTGACCACCTGAGTGCCTCTCCTTCCAACTTGTACAATGAACAACTTGGAATGTTCTAGACATGTTGGAGACACCAGCCTGTAGATCTTTTAGCCCAGTTGGACTTCTGCTTCCTCTCACTTTCCTACATTTCATTTAGACTCCACGGTGGTCTGTTGCTGTGATACCCTCTGCCAATTCCTTAAACTGCCCAACTTTGAATTTTCTACAGCTCTGTCTAGACAGCAGCTCCAGCCCTGGAGTCGCCCAGCCGTCTTTTCTCCCCTTCCTTGCTTGCCATCAGTCAGGCCCTGCTGAGCATGGTGGACAGGGTCATGGTCACCTGGCCACCACACCAACAACTGTGTCACGTTTCTCTTTAATTCTTTTTTGTTTGTTTGTTTGTTTTTGTTTTCTAGGACAGGGTTTCTCTGTGTAACAGCTCTGGCTTCGTAGACCCAGGCTGGCCTTGAACTCACAGAGAGAGATGCTTGCCTTGGGACCCAGGGCAGCTTGGTACACACCAGCCACAGGCCCTATAGACCAACCGGAAGGTAAACCTGAGTCTCAGTTTACCCTAAGACAATGCCTGGTTCCAAGAAAGACCACAAACTGAGACCACCCACACTCCACCCAGAAACAGACCATCCACAGGAAATTCCTAACGTTCCAACCATTGTAGATAGGATCACCTGCCAGCACACACCCATTGCTTTTCACCAGGACACCCCTAGACAAATGTTAGCCAATCAGGGGTTCTGAACCTCAAAACCCCTCTGCTATTATAAAAACCCTACCCCAACTGTGCTCAGGGCTCTCTGTTTGCGCCAATACATTGGGCATATGGGGAATCTGAGTTCTCTTACTTGTGTAAGAATAAAGGTTCTTTGCTTTTACGTACGGGACTCATCTCCTTGTTGGTTTTGGGAGGCTCCACTGATCTCGGTATAACAGTCTCTGCCTCCCGAGTACTGGGATTAAAGGCATGCGCCACCATTGCCCTCTTCTCTTTAACTCCTCGCAGTGGCTATTTCAAAGCTTCTCCCCCACCATCAGCTCTCTAAGACACCCCCCTCTCCTTCAGCTCCTGATGCTTAGGGCTGTAGACTTCTCCACCACCACAATTGCCTTCCCTCCTGGCCTTTGCTCTGAGATCAACTCTCCCGTCTGGGTTCTACCTCCCCTCCTTGACTGTCACCCACACAACACGTTGTCACCTTTCATCACGGAGCACATTAATTCCATGAGAAATTCTCCTAATTCTGCCTTCAAACTATCTCCCAACCCTAGCAACTTTCCCTTAGCACAGGAGGTGCAGTCACCTCTAGGCCTTGGTCTCTGCTTTGAACAGTGCCCCTTCCGGGTTATCCTTAGCAGTGACCTTCTGCAAAGGTCACATCTCAGGCTTCTCTGCTCAGATCCCTCACTTGGCTTTCCACTTAGCAGAGGAGAAGCTGAGTCTCTCTCTCTCTCTCTCTCTCTCTCTCTCTCTCTCTCTCTCTCTCCGTCCCCAGACCTGACTGCACTGTTGCATGAGAACTTTCTGTCATGGTAGAAAATGACGTGTGCCCATCTTCCCAGGTAGCAGCTGACCACCGGAAGTGTGCTGATGTGTCTAAGAAAGGGAATGCTTCTGTTGTGTGTGGAAACAGTCTCATGAACCCCACGCAAGCCTCCAGTTCTCTCTGTAGCCAAAGCTGACTGTGAACTTCTTTGGCTTTTGTTTTTGTCTTCTTTTATTTTGTTTTTAAGCCGTGGTTTCACTGCACGTCGCTGGCTGGTTTCGAGCTCACAGAAATCTGCCGCCCTCTCCTGCCGTCCAGGAGTTTCTTATCCTCCTCATACTGGGATCACAGGTACGTGCCACCACACTCAGGTTTATGCAGTCCTAAGGGTCAAATCCTGGGCTTTGTGTATGCTGGACGGGTACTCCACCAATTGAGCAACAAACCCAGCCTGATTCTTGGCTTTTCAGCCAGCTGACATTAACCCCAATGTTCCGAGTTACCACGCTACAAAGCCCAGCTTCATGAGGTTAACTCCCGTCTCCCTACATCCGCTTGCCTAAGCCTACATTACCTGGACAAACTACAGCAAAGCCCTGGCATACTTTCCTCATGGCTTTCCATCTTGTCATAAATCCAAGCCAGGGCTGGAGATGTGGTAGAGTTCTTGCCTAGCGCGTTCGCAGCCCTAAGTCCACTCCAGTGACAGATGAATTAATGAATGAGTGGCAAAGACATTTCCTATCTTTATCTCCAAGGCTTTATATGACCTGGAGACTCCACCCATCTCTGACGTCAGTCCCTACTCCATTCTCTTCCCTGTGCACGCCCATTTAGTGACAACACCGCCAGAGTGCGTCAATCAATTCTGTGGCCTTGGGTCATTGCTCACACTTCTCTCTCTCTCTCTCTCTCTCTCTCTCTCTCTCTCTCTCTCTCTCTCTCCTTGGAACATTCTCTGCCCAATGTTGATGTGGACTGAATGGTGCTCCCTTACTTCCTCCAGGCCTACCCCACCCTACCCAAACTGAAAACTGTCAAAGCCAGCACCCTCCTACCCTCGTCCCTGTCCAAGGGCTCTGCCTAGTCACTCAGTCTCCCTCCTGTTTATTGTATCTTTGTCTGCATACCATCTGTTTCCTGGGCAAGGGTAGAATTTACAAAAATACTAATACCCAAGGTAGCCTCCCGCACAGAACAGGCATGTAAGAACAAGAACGCTGAAGTTAATGGACGTTGGGACGGCTTCCTGATGTAATGACTTCTGAGGAGTCTCCACTTGGGCCTGGGACCGAGTGTGTTTCTGCAGCTGCTCCCTGGGACGAGGGCGAGAGTGGGTTCCCTAAAGACAGTGCCCTCGCTCGACAAGGGCAACACCACCTCAGCTCTGTGAGCTCCTGTCAGTGCTGGCTGCATCCTTCTCACCCGTGCAAACAGGACCAATTACTCAGGCTCAATGGCACACTCTTCACATTTCCCCTCGTGGTCGGGTCCTCACAGCCAGCTGGCGGCTTTCTGAGGTCAGCTACGAAGATGCACGAAGTGACCACACAGCTTCCCCATTCGCCTTTTCTCTCTCATCTGTTTGTCCCAGTCCCTTTTTACAACATTGCCATTAGAGTTTCAAAATGCCCTGCTAAATGCTCAGGCCAGCGTTCGGAAACTACGCCTCTGAGAGTGCCACTATCTATTCTAAACTTGTTACAGTCGGCGAATAAAGTGTGGTAAGTAAGCTTACAGCCAGGTCAACAGAAAGAATTAACTTCCTCCTAACCTGCTAGACAAAATAAAGGCGACTTTCCCCCTTTCTCATGTTTTACATGCTAATGAGGAGCAGTCATGCCACGGGGAGTAAAAATAATTTGCGTCATTAGTTCTAATTATGTACACCGCGAAAGCTTCTGCTGGAAATGTCAAAACATACATATCTGCTATTTTCAAATCCTGTTGCTTTCTGTTGGTAGCTCACCGAGGCACCAACGAGGAGAGAAATTACATCTTTGGCTACAAAAACAAACAAACAAATGTGTGATCGTAGTCACCGGACAGAAGAGTAGAGCCGTGAGGACTCTTGTGCCTTTTTACTTGTCGGCTGCAGGTGACAGGTGAAGCTGTTTGCTGCACAGTACAGACACTGTGACACAGACGGCAAAGATCAGGGTTCTCTGAGTCCCCTGCAGACAATGTAGCCTCACCCACACCGGGTGGCCATCCTTCAGCAGGGAGCTGTGTGTGTGTGTGTGTGTGTGTGTGTGTGTGTGTGTGAGAGAGAGAGAGAGAGAGA